TTATATGCATTGATTCTACAGAGGAAAGAAACTTTATAGATATTTTGTCACAATTCTCATCTTGATCCGTTAACTGATTTTTATGAAATTTTAAATCTGTTAAATGTCATTTTCTGGCATAAAAATTATGGCTTGATCACCATGGTGATGGTGATGATGGCGATGTTGTGCTGAGCAAAAGCTGCCTATTTTCCTTGTAATGTTTTATAAGGTCACATCCTCTATTTTCAGTTTTTCCTCAAATATGTTAAAAGAAAAAAAAATCTGCTGATCTTCATCCATTCTGTGAAACCAATTTTAAACATTTTGTCTGCATCTGGATTTGGGTTGGAAGGAACCAAACGTCTGCCCTCAGCATGGCCCTTCTCCAAACTTTCACCCTTCAATGAACTTCACCAAAGAACAAAATGGAGCAGAAACTAATTTGGGAACAAACAAGGCAGGGGTGTTTGAATTTAAGGTATTTGCTGATTAATGTCAGTGCAGACTGTATCTGTGACAGCAGATGAAAGAACCAATGCCAAAACTCAACTTGTGCACGAGCCCAATTTGAGTTGCACCACACTGCACTTCATATACAGTTATATACACTTTATCCTGAAACAGTTTTATTGTGTATCCTGACACGCACATGGATTTTTGGTGAAATTTCCATGTGGAAGGAATTCAGATGAAGTGTTTGAATAGACTACAGCTCGCTCTCCGTGAACTCTGTGCAGCTCTGGATGCCTGTGACTGATGTGCTGATTAGCTCAGTTTGAGGTGTGTCCTTTTGTCTGCACCATTTTTAGTTCTCAGTAATGTGTCACGTGATGCAAACACAAAATATCTCTGTGTTTTTCCACATATTCACAACAGGTCTGTTGCTAAACCTGCATTTGCTGCAGGTGCCATTTCACAAGTTGCTCCTGACTGGTAGTGCAGGAAACCTAAGTACACCCTTACTGCTGCCATAGAAATCAAGATATTAAGTAGCAACCAGGTGCTACTAGTCAATTGTCTTGAATTAACCGATCACCTGGAAGCGTGAGCACCTCTATAAAAGCAAAAATTTTGGCAGTTTGTAGAGCTGGAACATTCAGGTGTGAATGAACATGATGTCACAATTTTCCCAGGAGTGGGCGTCCCCACAAATTCACACCTAGGTCACACCCAGACTGTGCAATACCTGGAGAAAATAATAATAATAATAATAATCATCATCATCATCGCAGACTCTACGCGCCTCAGCATGTAAAACATTAATCTTCGTGACAGCCAAGAAAAAGACGGAACAAGTATGGCTTGTTTGGAAGAGTTGCTTTCTTTAGAAATCTTTAGTTTAGCATTTATTAGCTTCAGTGAAGGAAGAGTTAAGAAATCTCAATCTTAATAAGCAGATGCTTCCCTTATCATTTCATCATTGTTGCACAGGTGAATTTGGCCAAACTGACTAGGATTAAATCGAAAGACTAGTTGCAAGTGCATAATATCATTATAATTGGTTCTTTTGAGCCATTTTCAGTTGAAAACACATTTTTCCTAAAACCTAGTTTAGTTTAATTTTAATTAGTCATGTCTGGTTCATGTGTTAACAGGTTAACATGAGTTTGTACGAAGCCTAAAGTGTATTAACAACTCTGTGGTGTCACAAATAACTAAGTTAAACAGGGAGCCCTCTTGTCTCCTGTATCATCCCATCGCCAGAGTGTTAACTGCGTGAGCACTCGGTCCAGCATTGCACCTTAAACCTGTTGACCTCCTTTTCAATGACGCTGCAGACAAATAGCTGCGAGGGGCCGGATAGCTCCACGCTCCCCAGCAGTGTTTGTGGAGCAGACTCAGTCATGTACATGAAACACAAAGGTCACTGGCTGGAGCGGCAGACCACAACCTCATAACTCTCAGAGGTCATACATTTTTTTTAAAAAGCAACGGCACAATGAGCGACATGACTCATCACCACAAGACTGCAGGCAGCGTGACCTGATGGGAAACGTGCTTACATCACAACCCAAAACATTTTAAGATGAGAGAACTCACTGAATCTAAACTCTTGTTTTCGCATTCCTCAGACACATACAATGTGCTGTGCAGGTCAAAGGTCAGCATCGGCAACAATGCCCTCGGACCCGCAGGAGTGAGCAGGGTGAGAGAAAGGAGACACCGTCCCGGCTCGCTGGACGAGGTACTGACTGATGCAATGCAGAGCTGGTAGCTTTTATCGGGCCATTATGGCCTCAACAGGCAGAAGATTGGGTTCCCAGGATGCTATGAAATCCCGCTCAGCAGCTATTATGCTGCACAGAACGAGCGGGGAGATAATCCCAGGCATCTCTATTCACACCTGTCCACTAATATTCACATCACAAAGGCAGCTTGTGTGAGCAAGTCTTCATTTGCATAGTTTGGTGTGCCCCCCCCCCAATCCAATAGGAGGAGAAAAGAGAAAACTTTTCACAAAAGGAGTCCATCTGCCGGGCAACTGGTTTCTGGATTTTTGTGTTTCCATCTGTGTGCAAAGCTCACAGGATCTCAAACCATGAGATAAAGCTTCCATAATTAAAGCTGGATTATAAAACTTACAGTTGGGTAAACATTACTTTTAAACGGTGACACAATGCCAAAAAACTTAGAATATTAAGAAGAATATTAAACTAAAACAACAAAAGCACTACTTTTTTTTTTTCAATACAGATAAAAAGTAGGAGCTAGCGTCACTAATTCATCAATAAACAGAACAATACAACATCAAAAAACTTAAATTGTATATTTTTTGTAGAATCTGAGTGTTATATTTGAGTTAATGAGGTATACAGTAATTGAAAATCTTTACTTTTTCCTGAAGGGGTTACTGCACCAGAGGCAGTGCAGGAAATGACTTCAAACTGCAACTTTAGGAAGTCTGAAAATACTCAAGACAAATTTAAGATGCTGGAGGTTGATTATAGGAGTACACCCTTTAATGGTGAACTCAAACCAGGCAAGTGTGCTCAAACCAAAGTCCAGTTCAGTAATGAGCGTTTATGCTTCATCGTGCTCGGTTCAGCCCACTAAAACAGATGAGATTGGGAATGGTTCACTGAACTCAGGCGCAGTAATCATCTGGTTTGATTGCACTTCCTTAAGACGAGCTGCTCCGTGCAGTATGACTGAAATGTGATAAATACATGAAGGCAGATGAGAGCACTGTACCCAGAAATAAACAAAAAAGCCTCAAAGTACAAAGAATCATGGCGTCCTCTGATCTGTGCAGAAGCGCTTTTCTTTAACTGCAACAAATGCAACAAATGCATTTACATAACTGACATAGCTGCCAAACAGATACGATCGTCTAAGCTGGTAACCGTCTGACCCTGCTGACCTTCTGAATAACTGGCACGGGTGTGCGAAAGCATCAGACACGTGTCAAAATGTCCCCGGGGATGCTCCTTCGAAATCACCGGCATAACTATAACGCGAAACACGTGCATTAATCTCATGTTACGCAGGTTTCTGATTGTCCGACTTGAGGAAAAGTTTGGCTTCCCATTCAGGAAATCTGTCACATTATATTTACCAGCAGAGGTACTTCAGCAGCTGAAGACAAAAGTCAAAGATTGATCTTTGGCTGCCTGCAGTCACCTGGGCTTTAGGTCTCCATTTGATCACCGCTAACAGAAGATAAGCGGACCAGTTTAATCACTGTTATCCAACTCCAGGTGACGATGCTTGACAAAGTATGATGATCACAACCTACCAATCAGAGTTGTGGAGTCAGATGAATACAAATGCTTTCAGCAATGAACCTTTTTTTAAACCTGCATAGTATTTGTCATTTTATTTAACAAATGTAGTGATCTGCCTTCAGCTGTTCATAATTAACTTTTAAATAACAATTAAAAAAACATTAACAGGAATTAGGTTATGTAAATAGTTTACAAGCACACTGGGCACAGTGTTGGACTGCAAGAACATCAGCATCACCATAGCACCCAAGTCTAGTGCACAGAAAACCTGCAGTTTCTTTCATTGGACACTTAAAGCTGAATTCAAAACCAGCAGGTACGTCCATCTTTTATACTCATACTCACTATACTTTTCGGGATAAGGACCTGCCTCGGGAAGTTCTACAAACTTTCTCAGACCACAGCACTTCCACTTCTTTCTCCCTCTTCCTCAGTCACACAAATCAGCTCACCACCTCATCAGATCACCTCCTACCTCCCCCAATAATAGACGGTTCGCCCACTTTACTACATAATGAGCTGCCTATGGGCTCGATCTAGCATATCTGGCGCAGCCCAGAGTGCTGAAGCCCAGCATTACAGCCTGGCTTGTGACCAGTTTTCAAACGGCTTTGCTCGGCACTGCTGAGCACCTAATAACAGGATGTGAGGCTCCAACTGACAGGCTGGTCAAACTCCAAGTTGTGCTGCCCCAGGGGCATATTGTTCTGGGTGGCTATCAAATAGGAGAATGAAAGGTGGTCAGAATACCATCCCCTTACCAAAAAAGAAACCAACAAAAAACAAAAGGGTGGGCATCTATTCCGAGAATTTCTGTGTAATTTGAGTGTTTTTTCAGTGTTGGCCAAGCTTCATATCAGAGTTCCTGCATGTGTCTGAACCACAGGAATCGGCCAGGAGTGCGAGATGATTTAAATCCAATAACAATGAATGTGCAGCACACATACTGTACACCTCCACCCTCTCCCACCATCTGAGAACTGCTTTCATTTCTCTCCAGCAGAGGCTCGATTAAACCAGACACATGTATGGGAGGAATTTGGAGTGTAGGAAGGCAAGTGGTGTTCAAGTGCAACACACAGAAGCCACTATTTCCTTACAAAAAATAAAAATGCACAAGCATTAAGCATCCACCTATTTCCACATACAAGAGGCTAACTTTCACTAATACTTTTTTGGGAATACTTTTATTCCCAATAGAGAAAAAACATGACCAATCCCAAAATGGGCCTCCAAATTATACCCATTCTGATGCTAAGGTGAATCGCTGCCCTCTTCCCCCCCCCGACTCACCTCATTGGATGGTATGTTCACGACACCTGTGGATCTCCTCTTTTCCCTTAACTTCCTCTTCTCGATCTGTCCTTTCCCCTTCCTGGCGCTGGGCCCGGTGCTCTTCTTCTCCTTGCCCTTGCTGCTGGGTGACGGGCTTTCCTTGTCACTGTCGTTGCAAGCCATGGGAGTAGAGTCCTGAGTCTTCTCCGGCTGAGGCAGGGCCTTCTTCAGGTTGCTTCCCGGCGTGGCTGAGGGTGTCACGGGGTGGTGCATTTCCTCCTCGGGCCTCTTTAGAGAAGTGCCAGAGGAGGACCGAGCAACCGCGTAGGAGGAGGGGTGGCAGTTCCCAGCGGAGGAGCTTCGGTCCGGGTTGCCGTTGTTAGTGAACTCGGTGGCCGAAGGAAGAGGAGGAGGAGATGGAGGAGGAACGGCGTTGCGGCTGCTGTTTGTATTACTGGCACCCAAGGGAGTACCAGTGGCTGCGGCAATGTCCCCCAGCATTTTGGCTCTCATTTTCTCCCGTTTTGCCTTCCACTCCTCCAAAAAGTCCGTCGCGGCGCTTGACTTGAATCCGCCTGTGGCCATGATCCCTTTTTTCTGATAAGTTCAAAGTCGAAGGGAGGAAAAAAAAGTAACTTAAAAGTTGAAGTTGATATGAATTTTCAGCTCTCGGTCGCTGTCCTAATTGCACCACATTCCTCAAGTGATTAACTCGGGAGCTGCTGAAAGGTAGAATGAAAATAAAAAGTCAGGACAAGTAAACTTAGCTGTTCATTATGGAGGTGTTTTCACCTCCACCTCGCGATACTCAGCGTGCAGGACGGGTTTTGTTTAAAAAGAAAGTTTACAAAGTCCGTTTATCTCTAAGGTAACTTTCCGCCCGAAAGAAGAAAGTCAGAGTGTGGAGAAGTTGACGAGAGAACAACAAAGGTATAAATTCAGGTAGAAACCCACCTGAGTGGAGCTGTCTCGGTCGCTGAACTGCTCTTCACGGTCCAACCAGGTGTGCCCAAGCTGCTCTCACATGAACTGCTGTAGTCTGCGGAGCTGGGACCCGCGGCGCTCGCTCTGCCCCTCTGAAAACACCGGCTTGAATCCCGAAAGTGGGCGAACACTTCCGACTAAAGCCGAAGCAGAGGAGGGGCGCTGTGTAATAACTCTTTACTGTTCCCACAGGTGCTTTCGGGTTCAAGGTCATTTGTTAAAGCTTTTACAATACTTATCGGCGATATTTCCATAAAGATAAAGGTTAATATAGTTAATTATTTTTATCATAACATTTCTGTATTTTCATGCTTCCTTATATGTAAGTTGTGTAAAGTGTACAAAGTTTCAAGCAGCTCAGATTCTTTTATTCTGCTTGTATATATTTATATCTTTTTTCAGTTTTAATTATCATGTTATTATTATTATTATTTTATTTTTTTATTTTTTTATTTTACAATTGTTTCTGTTGTTTTTAAATCATCAGCTGGTTTATTTATCTATCTAATTTTGTATGTGGATACATATATATTTTCTGTTTGCCATTTGTTGTCATTGCACAGGGGAACATATTTCTTCACTGTGAATATGACAATAATTTTCTATAATTTTGAAAAGTATTTATCTATCTATGTTACAAAAAACTAGCCAAGACCAGTAAAATGACTGCAAAGCCCTCCTTACCTTTCTTTAATAAGTGTAAAGAAAGGAAAGGATCGTTTCCATTGTCGAATAGAAATTTGATAAACATTTTCATTTGTATAAGATCTGCATTTATGCTCTTTAGATTAGCTTTGGGGCCTTTTTATTACCTTGTCGTAAGAAGAATAAGTGTAAAGAAGAAGCATTTTCCCCTTTGATGAGCCACCCAGTTACAAAAGCACGATTAACTGCTTCGCAAGAATAAGGGCAAGGTCTGCTGTCATAACATGTGCATGCATATTTAACAGTGCAAAAGCAACAACTCTTCACATGTACGGTTTCTTTTGTAATAAACATTCGTATTTTACTTCTTTATGATCTGAACACTGTCTCTAGGTCTAGAATTCTGTTCACCCCTGTGTAGTTATGCTGGCTTTGCATCACCACTCAGCAATCAAAATTCATTTTTTACAATTTCATTGCGTTTTCATACTTTTTTTAGCCATCGGTTGGTCAAATTGGACCCTCTGGTGGGTCCAGACCTGTCCTTGAAAATCCATCCACTCCTTGCTTTAAGAGCTTTCTGTAATTCACTGAAAATTTTGTATTTTGCTTTGAGAGTTGAGTGGAAGTTTGAGACTTTGAAAATGTGATTGTTAAAGTCCCTGTACACCTCTGCAGCTCTGACTTGTGTCAACAGCAACGGTGTCGCTGATTTCACGTCTTCAGTGGCCCTTTGATATTTGCACAGTCACAGTGCAACACTTCGGCACAAGGGCATTTCTCAACAACTTCTCTCACGCAGGTCCCACAGAGTCCCTTAGGCACCCGATAACTCACCCAACCAGCTCTGATCAGATGAAAAACCTGCTTTCAGGGAAACTTGATCCCTGGGTAGGGTGAGGGCAACTTTCGATGACTGAGCAGTTCATTTCATCTTATTTTTGTTATGACTTGACAGTTTACAAAAAATGTGCGCTACTCAAAGTTGAAACTTCGTTGACAGCGGGAAACTCCACTTTAAAAATCGACATGCAATTATATGTGTACTCAGTTGTTGCTCTGAAATATCCGAGTCCTCAAAGTACTGAATCATGCGTTCAACAGACAGAACACATGTTTGATAACAATAATAAACCTCCATTACATTAAAAAAGAGCAAAAAATTTCAATCTGAGATCTCAGAAAGAGCCTTTAAACAGGGATATCATCTCCTTTCTGTTTAGATTTGGTGAAAAGATGTTCTGTTTCATTTGACAGTGCCTTAAGGGGATTTGTCTTGGGAGAACAAGGCATAACGAAATGTTAGTGTGAACACTTTCAGTGTGTTTCTTAGACAGGAACAGTCCTTCTAGAAGGAATTCTTTCACCTCAGCATAGCGAAAAGCCTTCAGGCACTTACACGGCCACTTTGTTAGGTACAAACTGTTCAACTGCTTGCTAACAGAAATATCTACTCAGCCAATCACATAACGGCAGCTCTATGCATTTAGACCTGTACACATGGTCACGATGACATGCTGAAATTCAAACCGAGCATCAGAGTGGGGAAGAAAGATGGTTTCGCTGACTTTGAATGCAGCACGTTGTTGTTGGTCTGAGTATTTCAGAAGCAGCTGTTTTCCTAGGATTTTCCCATCAACAATCTCTGAGGAATGCTTCCTCAGTTTTGTTGAATCGATTCCATAACGAATTAAGGCAAAAAAAAAAAAAAAGGGAACGGCAACACGCACCTAATAAAGTGGCCGGTGAGTGTATTTAGGGAGTTGTTTTGATGCAGTGTCCAAATTAACTAAACTTTTATGATCATAAAAACTGCGTTGATGATTTCTGGGCCCAAATAAGTCTCAGGATTGTTTGCAATTTCTTAAACATCACAAACTAACTCAAGAAATTCAATTTCAGCTTAGTTTACAAAAAAAAGAGAGCAAGATTTCAGTTACACACTGCATATGTGGCTTCAGCAGATTTTCATCTAAATACTAAAGTGAGTATGTCTCAGAGTCTCAAATTTTCTTCTGAACTTACATTCCAAGTGAGAGCAGTGACGCATCTTGTTTTCCCTTTTCTCCCGAGAACTGGGCTTGTGAGGTGACAGGTTTGTGATTATACACCCCTTAGAGGCAGGGTAAAATCAATAAGACAATATTCATCTTGTAGTTGTTCGACCAATAAAAAAATCCACAGTCACAGCATAAAAAAGTCCTGCGGATGATATTACTGACAGCTCGCTGGTTTTCCATTCCCTCTGATAATTTCCTGATACGTGGACAATATTTCTAAGATAGCAAAATGCAGATGTTTGTAACCTGAGAGAAAAGGTAAGCCACAAGCAATCTTCATTTGTGTTTGTAGCTTTTTGTAAATGATGCGGATATTTTTATGCAATTACAGCTGTTTCAAACAAAAAACAAGATGAGTCCCAAAGAGTAAAGATTGGTTTCAGGTGAGTAAGCTGAACTGGGTCTGTATTGTAGAGTGGCTGTGGCTGTGGAGCAGGTTGCTTCCTAATCAGAAGGTCAGTGGTTTGATCCCCAGCTCCTCTGGTCTGCATGTTGTCCCAAATGCATTTGTGCCTGTATGAATGCTATAGTAGAAAAACAAACAAAACAACACAAATGGGTGAATAAGGCTTGCAGTAAGAAAGTGCTATGAGAGCTCAAATAGAGTAGAAAGGCACTATATAAGCACCAGTCCATTATTCATTGGAAGTAACATAATTACAGTTACTTAAATTGCCGCAATGAGCTGTGACACATCAGTCTGTGTTGCTATGATGACTTTATTTCTGTGTTTACGTGAAAAAGCAATTAAAATCCATCCATTCGCTTCTGCTTATCCTTTTCAGGGTCGTGGGGGGGGGGCTGGAGCCTATCCCAGCTGTCTTAGGGTGAGAGGTGGGGTACTCATTGGACAGGTTGCCAGTCTAACACATAGACAAAGATTCGTGCTCACATTCACTCCCCCATTCACACCTATAGACAATCTAGTGTTTCCAATTAACCTATCCCCACAAACTGCATGTCTTTGGACTGTGGGAGGAAGCCGGAGTAACCGGGGAGAACCCATGCAAACAGGGGGAGAACATGCAAACTCCACACAGAAAGACCCCGGCCTGATGTTGGAATTGAACTCAGGACCTTCTTGCTGTGAGGTAACATATTCACATATTGTTGGTGTTCACTGTCTTGCCCGATGACACGTTAGGACACATACTGAAGGAGCTGGGAATCAAAGCCACCGATCTTCCCATTAGTGGATGACCTACGCTGTCTCCTGAGCCACGGCTGCCTGACTTCACAGAAACAGGCCTTGGGACTTCTTTATGAAACATCCTGAAGTCTGATCATTGCTTTCAAGAAAGGTACTTCACAAATCCAGTTTACTTCTACTATTAGTGCACAAAGAAAATGCCAGAGAAGCTCTCTTCGAGGACGAGAAGCGCAGTGACAGTTTTATGAGGGAGTCAACAAATGATAAAACTGTTTTCAAGCTCAAGCACAAACTCAAAACAAGGAGTTAATATGATGGGAAGCCGCACAACAGCTACCAGCTCATTAAAATACAGCAGGTTTTGCAGCTTTCAGTCAAGTCTATGTATAACTTTGTTTCTAAAAACAAGTCCCAAAGACATCATTATCATTTCAAACCTGTTCTGGAGATTCTCCTCCATAATGAGCCAAAGTTAGAGGAAGTATAATTAATACAACATCATGCGAGTCCTTGCAGCAAACTGCTGACTGTTGCAAAGCTCCGTTTTCATTACCCTGCATTGCATTCCAGTGATATTCCAGCCACGTTCATGCCATTACCCAACTGTACAAGCACAGGTTTTTCTCCGTGCCGTGATTTAAAGCTGCTATAGGTGCTTACTGTCAGGAACCTAATTTCACGCTATGTTAATAGCCCCATAACTCACCTGTGCTGAAGGATATGAGCCTATTGGTGTTTGATTTGTGTGCGGCCAGCTTGCTCACAAGGGTGCACTGACTTTAAGGGAAGTTTACCATGGATACTCAAATGTACATATCTGAAATAGATTGGCTTACATGTTATTAGTTTGGTGTTTTTCTGCCATAAAGAGCAAAAAATGTGACCTATCCATGTGTCTCAGGAGTGAGTGGGAGGCCAGGCATTCAGCCATTATCTCTGCATGTGCTAACCCTGGTACAGATAATGAGAAAACCTGGGTGGAGCATGGGAGTGAGGTGCCTCTCCTAAAAATAAACCTTGATCTAAGGACTCGGGTCACTCTGCTGCATATTTAGCATATTTCTGTCTGCTTTTGAGGAGGGGGAGAAAAAAAAGAATGAGGAACGGGGGTGCTTAAAGGCTGCTGCTAAGTGTTTCCTTTCATGCCAACACAAACGCTGCTGTGCAACTTAAATGCCCAATAGCATTCCAGTAATGCATTACTGAAATAGCCAAGCTCAGGCTCTGTATATAATGAACACTAAATTTGTATTCAAAGTACCAAGAAGACTCTGAGA